GCTACCTTCGCTACACTAACGCAAATCAGTACAAGTGATAAGGACAGATAGCACAAAACATCAAGAGAAACTCTACGCAAAACATCGCACAACTAGCTATTTCTCTGATCGCTTAACTCTGAACACTGGATTTACTTATATGCATTTTAATTGTATCGATCTATTATCATACATACAAATATCAGCTTCTATGACACGTGCAACATTCAAATTGTTATTCCACGCACTGCAGCATACATGAAGTAGCTATTTCAGGTGGAATCGGGGCACCAATTTTCGGGATTTGTGTAATTGAAAATTCGAAGTGGAAGTGCATGTATAACCTACGTGGCGGCCATTTGTGGACTCTACAAGGAATCACCTTAAATGTGCATGATATGTTTGTATATAGGGGAAATGACTCTAATGTTGGCCTTTGGATCTAAGACTGGGTCCATCGCTAAAAATCTGCAATTTATCAATTTTATCTAGATGAACGCGTCATTGGGACGATACTAGTGGATATTTTTGGTCGATATTGGAAATTTGGTCGATTGCTGAATTTATATATGGGCCAAAATTAGAGGCATTTGGCCGATATTACATCCATTTCCCCTACACCCAACCGGTGGATGTAAGATTCACTTACAATTATGTGGGATTCATCATCAGAGGATGTAAGTGGAGACCGCATGAACCGAGGATGTGATATACCTAGCTGCGATCCGATGTAAGAAAATTGGAGACCGAAAAATGTGGAGTGTATTAGTGAGTGAAATTAATTATGTCGAAAAAAATAGAAAAAAGGTTGCCGACTGGACTCGAACCATGGACGTTGCGACTATCAGACCTGTGCTTTCTCCACTGCTCCCTCCATGCTTCTGAATATGGTTAGCCTAAAAGCAAACATGAAGCGTTCATTTTCTCGCATGCTCGACTTCGTATGCTTTTTCTGCTGGAGAGATTCGAGACAAGTGTGTGCGTCATTGTACAATGTTCTACAATGTGCGTCGTTCTACAAGCTTACTGGTATAGTCGAAAGCGTAGAAAGAACACGAACTGAAAAAGACAAAAAACCATTACATCGCCTGTAAGGTCAACTTCTAACATTCGCTGCGATGTTCATGAACAGAGGATGATAGGAAACGGAACTAACATTCATTGTAATAGATTTTTGGTTTGCGTGTATATATACATTTTTTTATATTTGTATTAAGTGTGATTTGTAGTCGGAGTTGGCTTCAATGTTGGTTAATTTCAATTCAGAGGAGTCGGAGTCAGAGTCGGAGTCGATCAATTTTCATCCGACTCCACAGCCCTTGTCAAATCTCAGGTAATCATGATATTTGATTTTCGAAAAAAAAAAACGTGAGTGAAAAAAGAGACCTGCAGCATCTTGATTACCTGGTATTTGTCAAATAACCTTAATAGTTATCTAAATTTTACACAAGAATAATGTATTTTAACATTTCTGCGATGCTAAAATTACCAAAGGTGCAAATGCTCATTACAGCTAAAATGCTAGTATGAGATATTTAAATAATAATGTTAATATGTATGTTGCAAGAAGAGGAGGTAAATGTTTGTGCATGATACATAAAATTGGAAAATTTTGATTTCAGAGGGTCACAATGAGTGATTTTAGCTATAATGTGCCATCGTGATGAGTGAGTGCTCATAGTTATAGCTAAGCGCTTATTGTGACGCTTAGAAAGTGAAATTGCTATTATTCGGAATTATGAAACTCAAAGTTTCATAATTACGAATAATACACCCAACCGGTGGATGTAAGATTCGCTTACAATTATGTGGGATTCATCATCAGAGGATGTAAGTGGAGACCGCATGAACCGAGGATGCGATATACCTAGCTGCGGTCCGATGTAAGAAAATTGGAGACCGAAAAGTGTGGAGTGTATTAGTGAGTGAAATTAATTATGTCGAAAAAAATAGAAAAAAGGTTGCCAACTGGACTCGAACCACGGACGTTGCGACTATTAGACCTGTGCTTTCTCCACTGCTCTCTCTATGCGTCTGATTAAGGACAGTCTAAAAGCAAACATGAAGCGCTCATTTTCTCGCATCCTCGACTTCGTATGCTTTTTCTGCTGGAGAGATTCGAGACAAGTGTGTGCGTCGTTCTACAATGTTCTACAATGTACGTCGTTCTACAAGCTTACTGGTATAGTCGAAAGCGTAGATGGAACACGAAATAAAAAAAGGCAAAAAACCATTACATCGCCTGCATGGTCAATTTCTAACATTCGTTGCGATGTTCATGCACAGAAGATGATAGGAAACGGAACTAACATTCATTGTAATAGATTTTTGGTTTGCGTGTAGTATTTAAGCTGTAATGAGCAATTGCAAGCCTGGCAAAGGATTGTACGATACATAAATTCCCAAAAAAATGTCCAATTTATACCTCATTCAATACACATCAACTCATTTAAATAGCTTGTCCCACTAGATGTAATCCCCTTGCTTTTAACCCATTGTTAGCACAAGTCGAACAAACTTCGAACAACTTTAATCCTGTTTACCGAACTGTCACTGATTGAAGGATGAAGCCTTGTCGTACGGCACTAGTGGTCGATTTAGAGAAGCAGGGTACGTTTTCAACCCAGTGTCATTGTGTGGCAGTGCCCAATGCGAAAGCATTCGGGGGAGGAAGAACTTTCCCACACGCACATTTCACAGTCGAGCGAGAATAAATAGCATCGCACAGTCAAGTTGTAATAACGATACTGCCATTCACCATCACCCAACAACCAACCAACGGTGGCGATGAGGAGGAAGAAGAAGAAGAAAAAGAAAGAGAAAGATGAAAGTTTTATCTGGAAAAGTTTTCCCCAGCAGCGGCCCAGGACCTATCCAGCACGGAAGCTGGATGAGCTCGGTCGGGACATTGTGAAATATGTTGAAGTATGTTATTTCCATAAGGACTCTCGCGCCATATCTAAGCACCGGGGGCCTGTCGGTGAATTACAGCTCCATAATGGGAAGTTTTTCATGAATGGGAAACTTGGCGGCGCGAGATGAGCTTTCTGGAGGAGCATTTTACGACTATGCTCCTAACTGTGTATGCTTGGGCTCGTATACAGGATGGAAATTAAACTTGTATGAATTGTTTGATTATTACACTCGGTCCTTCCACTGACTGCGCCTCCATCGTATTGGGACAAAGGCGGACCGCGAGAAGAATTCATGGCTTCCGAAGGAGTCACTGACACATTAAAGACTGTTGAGATTGTGGTGAAAAATTACGGCAAAAAGTGCCGGCCGCATGAGAAGGAAGGCTGGAAAGTAGCAACAGCAAAAGTCCCATCGATCGATGTTCACATTCCTGCCATAAATCCCTGCGTCCCGCTGAGAGAGTGAGTGCGTACCGCGAGCGAGTGGAATTCTGGCCCAAACATGGAATATGAGTTCGCAACGACTCCGGAAAGACGCTGGCGGCAGCAGGATGGATGATTACACCCAAGAAGAAGCGCGTTTGTAATCAATCTGTCATTTGGCGAATTACGTTCATAAGTTTCTCTCCGACATATGTGTCGTCGTTGTTGTCTGCGTTTCGTGCCCGCTTCCGCCAGTTCCAGTCGCAGTCGGCTTGCACGGTGGAACACTGAGTCTGCGGTTGTCTATCCTTGTGATCGGCATTCTTGGCGTGGCAGGGGTTGGAAAGTGCTGCCAGCATTCTGATACACCTATAGTTCCAGACAAAGTCATTGTTTGAACTTATCCAGCATCCCTGCATGCGATCAGTTTGTAGTTTTTGTCTGCCGACCGGCGAAGCAACCAGCCAGCAGCAGATTTTTTGTTTATGAGCCTCGTTACGATAAATACGCTCAGCTGTGCGAGGATGCTGCCGCAGCTCCTGGTGCCCATAAAGTCCACCAATCGGAAGACGCGTAAAAAGCAAAGCCAAGGAGAAATCCTGAGAACCGCGCAAAAACTGTGCCTATGTTTACATCTGTCGCCGTCATGCCGTCGTTGGAGTTCTACCGGTTCGACTTTTTGCTCATGTGAGCCCCAGATGAGTGGAGAGCTGCCCATATCGAATACTAAATAGCAACAATAATTTCTTGACCGTCAGCAGCAGCGGGAGGCCAGAAGTGCGCTGTTTGCGTACCGTAAATGGGAAAATAGTTCTGCTGAAAATGCGGATGCAATCACCACCAGCTGAGCACGGAAGGGAGAGAAAAAAAAATGCATCATTCAACCGTTGATGAGCTGTTAAGGAAGATGAGTTGAGGAACAAAAAAGTTGTGGAATAGTCTACTTTTGCGACATTCGATGCCTGGTAGATGACGGGAAGTAGAAAACAAGTGTCACTGACAGTGGTGACAGGTACATCGATCGGGTGCAAAATTGGACTGGAAATTTTGTAGTGTGTTGACTGGATCGGTCCAAAATGAAAACTTGTAGGTGAACACCGTAAGCATTAAAAAGTATCACTTGCAAAACAATCGAAAAATAGAGGAAGTGACTCTTATGTTGGCACATGGATCGTTTGGGATCATCGATAAAAATCTTTCGATTTCCCATTTTGTTTTATAGAAAAAAGTGTGAATTGGACTTGTATGGCTAGTTTTGGTTGCTATTGGAGCATTGAAAAAGTTGTTTCCCATAGTTATTATTATTTATAATAAATTTCAAAGAGCCAGTACAGTATGAGTTCGCAACCAAAGGATTCGAAATTTTTGGAGATTGATCAGGACCTGTGTTAGATATCATTTCCAACCAACTCTGAAAATCGTCAACTTCACTGATTGTCAATCCCAAACCCCATTCATTTGGTTCACTGTGCAATTTCGCCAGATCAGGCCAATCGGGCAGTCAACCTGTCGTCAATACTAATGCTCATGAAGATCAAAGAAACGTTCTAAAAACACGTAAGCACGTCTTAAGGAAACAGAAGCAAACAGCATATAGAATTGTTTAGGTGTCCAGGAATGCATTCTAAAGAAAAACCACTTAAATGTATCACATATTATATTCGTTATATTTCGACCACTTTCGGCTTATCCTCGCGATTACATTTTTGTATATTTCGACTTCGAGCTCTTCCGTGTCTGCGGGAGGGGACTTGACGACATAATCGTTGTAGTGATAGGCGAATTGCTTGAGCTCCCATGCTCAGCGTCATTGTAGCCCTCAGAAGGGCTGTGGCCATAAATATTTATCTGAAATTTCTTCATGAAAACACATTTTAAAATTTTAACCGCAGCCGCAACTATTACAATTAATCCAGTTATGATGGAGGCAATTATGCAAAATTTGCGCAGAACGGCGTTGAAGTTGAAACTCGATTTATGAATTTGTGAGTCATTGGTGCACGCCAGCGTGGAATCGGCAGATAATGTAAGCGTGAACGCTGTGTTACAACGTAGAACATTTGGGGCAATGCACACTCCATTTTCAACCATTGTGTACTGTGGATCGCAGATCGGTTCACAGCGGTAGTTATCGGTTGAATTGATGTAACCATTGTGACATCTACACTGGTTCACACCCACGCAAGTACCATTTTCACACGGTGGTTCGCATGTTGGTATACAAACATTTGACTCTGTTAGCGTTCGATATCCTTTCCAACATCTACACTTTCCCGCAGCAATACAGTCTCCACTTACACACCCAGGATCACAACTCAACACACACCGTCCATTCGCCATGACGTATCCCTCGTTACATTTGCAATTGTCCGGAGATGTGCATTCACCGTGTTGGCAGCCGTTTTTACACACTGGAAGGCAATTGTCACCTTCTTCGTAATACCCAGCACAGCATAATTTGGAAACCATGGGTTTTACCTGCGAAAACTAATCGATACTGATATGAGAAGTTTGTGGTTTACGATTCAATCAAAAATACTTACTTCAGAAACGTTAAAACAGTAGCCAAATTTTGGATGCATAATGCTCTTGGGCAGTTCGAAATGTGCCATTCTTTGAAGAAAATATAACATTATTGATTATAAATCTCATCAAACAAAGCTATATAACTTACTTGACTCCATTCTCACAATGCTGAGCACATGTAAACTGTACATATACAAGGGAAATAACCATTAGTCTGAGCAAGCTTAAGAAAGCCATCTTGCTGCTCAGAGCTGAATGCGTCGAATGACCAAACAATATTGCTGATGATATCAGAAATTCCGCAACATAGCCTAAATTACGCGCGAAATGAATCATACAAGAATTCAATGGATTAGTCATATTAAACAGTTTAAATTTCAAAGTGTTGACGTGCAAAAACATTCAAGCCTATACAAATATGTCGCACAATTAATATCCAGATATATGTAACGTGGTGAAAGGCTTGCGCCTGATGTGAAATTTCCGAGCTGCAAGTACATGTGATTTCCTAAAACTTTCGCTTGGATTTTCAAAAGATCGGATGAATTGTTTTCAAGCTATAGGTAAAATCCTTAATCCTGGAGAAATTGTCTTCGTAGGCCAGACAAACTATTACAGTACTGGACAGTTGGTACATAAAAAAATCAGAAATCTTGGCGACTGGTTGATCAAGCATTAAGGGTTTAATGTTTTTGACGTAATTGGTTGAGCTTGTATGGAGTTTGAGAAATTTCACTAAAACATCTCTTACTGAACTACCATTTTTCAGATTCATCATGTTTGCAAGCATCAGAAGTGATGTCGCTACCTGCGTTGTTTGATCTCCCGGACCAGAAATTTGTGGCATCGCGAGTGATAATATTTAATTTCAGTTTATTTACGCGCTGTAAGATTCCTGAAAAAGCTCAGCACGGTCGGTGTTGATGTTGGTTCGCTCGCAACTAGTTTTGCAAAAACTTAAGTATTTTCGACCGGAATTGATACCGAAAGTGTATCAAAAGTTCTTCTGAACGTGTTTCACAGTTGGGTGTGGTGGAATTTGTGCATTCCCGTTTGATTTTCAGTGTAAATTCCGTATCGCAAAATTGCTCACCGAGTTCCTTTTTTTTTTGCAGTTCAAAGACGACGGGTTTGCTTTCGCGAGAGTGACGTTTATTGGATCCTTTTCTTTGGACAGGTGTGTTTTTTTGTAACCAATGGTATGTAAGTGTGCTTGTGATTTTCATTGCCTACCGGGTGGTCGGTTCACCGTGTTCGGATGTCACGCTTTCGGCGTGTAGTTCTATCGGGAGTCTCGTCACCGTGTGCGATTTTGAACACGGTCTGGTTGGGAAATTAGCCGAGGAAAGTGCTGATAATGTGCCCGCCGCGAGTTTTAGTGGTGATTCGGTGGCCGACATTGCCGTGAATCAGCGAGTTGACCTGCGTTCGAGCGCGGCCGGTGGTGGTATTGCTTAGTTTGAGATCACCAGTTTTTACACATTGAGGATGATTGCTAGTCCCAAGTATCGTCTATTGGTTCTCTGTATGTTTACAGCTGGTCTGGCAATAAGAGGGTAGCAACCGTGGACGGTCAATCATGCTCATGCTCATGCTCTGACTGAACTACCATTTTTCAAATTGATTTTTCTTGAAGTCTGTCTAGTGATAGTCCGTCCAATGTAGACAACCGCTGTGGACCATTCCACCACTGAGTCATTTAAGCAGGTTTTGTTGTTCGCAGGCAGAACAAGTCTTGTTCTTTGTTAGTGTGGACAAATAATGCCATTTTACCACCTGTTTTCATTCTCCAAAGGTAATTTAAAAGGTATTGAATGTACTAGAACTTCTACTAAAATTACAAAATTTTCCTAAATTCCCACTGAATAATCATGACTGATTTTCTCAGAATTGGGTTGGCCAAATTTTGAATTGAAAGTGGCCGACGTTGCCGTGAAACAGCGAGTTTATGGCTCAGAAAAGTGCTCGTCTGCTGGTATCTCGCCAGTGTCGAAGATTGTGAGCAAGCTGAAGGATGCCTCGCTGGATACGCCCAAGATTGGACGGGCGGTAGCTGGTGGCCGTGAATGGTTCCTGGGGAAAGCACTAGACGCGAACCTCCTCCCAGATGACCATGGCAATGCAAGAATTTTTTTTATCGTTGAAGGAAGTATTACAACAAAGGTAATTGCTATTAGATATTCTTGCAAACAGTGAGCGATAGCAGACATAAAGCTCAAATGGAGGTGCTGGGCTAAGGTGTTATATCCTAGATAAATGGTAAGTTACAAACTCGCTGTTGTTATCGTCGTAGGCGCCGTCGTATTCGCCATAGCCTATACCGTTAGTATATTTAAAATTAACCGTCAATGGCACTACATTTCTGTTGTTCATTACATACGCGTATTTCTGTTGTTCATTACATACCAAGTGAAATTCGAGAACGTAATTTCGTTTGAATAGCTTGTTTAACCAGGGCTTAAACAATCGTCACATCGGTCATAGCTTGCTATGATTGCCTGAACAATGCGTAAAGAGCAAATCGGAACATTGAACGTCGCGTGAAAGTGGAACTTATTGAAAGCCTAAGTACTATTTCGTAGCTTGCTTACTGAGCAGAAAAACGCGGTACCAGATCCTTTCATATTAAAAATGTATGGTAAGATCGGCTGTTTATCGTGTATTTTGCACAACTTTTCGTTTTCGTCGGTGCCGGGTTTTAAAGGTTTTAACAACTTGAGTAACGGTATAATGTTATATGAGAGGCTCAGTGGCCTTAGAGCAACCGTTTTTGCTTACTGAGCAGAACATCATGAGCCTAATCTCAAGCCCATACACATTAAAGATTCGTCAAGCGTTTTATTTTTTAACACGACAACATGGTAATAACAGCAACTCGATGATTTGCTTACAAAAGCAGAAGAGCGTGGGTTCAATCCCAAGCTCCTTCGCGTTATATGATCATTAGGCCATCAATTCAGCTTATCGTTTACCAAAACGATTCCTGCTGCAAACCCAACTCTATTACCCAATATCCTAATGATTCCTCGTGGAAGTGCAGAGGTGTTCTCGGCTTCCATCAAAGCGGGTGTCACGTCAACACATTCCTACCCCTTCCTTTCTTGACCAGGGTTCGAGCGCGGCCGGCGCTGGTATTGCCTAGTTTGAGATCACCAGTTTTTACACATTGAGACTGATTGCTTGTCCCAAGCATCGTCTATTGGTTATCTATGTAATTACAGCTGGTCTGGCAATAACAGAGTAGCAACCGTGTGCGGTCAATGATGCTCATGCTCATGCTCTGACTGAACTACAATTTTTCAAATTGATTTTTCTTGAAGTCTGTCTAGTGATAGTCCGTCCAAGATAGACAACCGCTGTGGACCATTCCACCACTGAGTCATTTAAGCAGGTTTTGTTATTCGCAGGTGGAACAAGTCTTGTTCTTTGTTAGTGTGGACAAATAATTGTAACGATCAGGAATTTTGTATAAATTGGTATGTAATTTATATAAAATTATAATAGGTTTATATTATTTGAATTAAATTCCTTAGGGTAGGCAGTAAGAATACACAAGCATTTTTTATTTTTTTTGCTGAAATCTTTCCTAAGACGGGACCATTGAATTTATGGATAAGGTAGGAAAGGGACAACGGCACTTCTATAGGCCAAGTTATCTTTCGTGTCTTTAATATCACGAAAGTACACGATGGGTTTCGGGAAAAGATGGACTTCCGGTCCGTCCGAATCTTACATTTCCTTAATCTGACTTGACAACTAACTTGTGGCGCTTAAGCCACGCATATTTAAGCTGGATCGTCCGGGCTTGCTACAAATTAATCGACGAAACGGAAATTCCCTATTATCCCCATGAATTCATACTCAAGAAAGTCATTCAGAGAAACGGTAGAGCTCACGCATACCCTAAAACTCTACGAGAGAGAACTTCTCATAAACTTCCAGTCCCGTCACCTGCCGCTAGACGTCTCCTTAATCTGGTAATGGAATGTACTTCCCACCATTCAAACTCAACAAGAGGACGGGCAACGAAAACTAACACGAACGCGGAGTGATGTCAAACACATTCAAATAATTAAAGCTAGGGAGATTTGGAACGGGAATTGGTGCCATTTTCGCATTTATTTATAACATGAACAACGATATATTGAGTGCCTCTTAAACTGGGCTTAGACAGGGCAAGACAATTGATCAAGTCAGTTAAATTCAACTAACTTGAACGCGATTTGAACGTCTAAACCATGCCATTCAATTGGCTTGATCAACTCACTTGAATTGAAAAAAAGTTGAACCAGGCTCAACTTTTCAAGCCAATTGAATTCAACTGAGTTGATCAAGTGACTTGCCTTGTCTAAACCCAGCTTTACTGTTTATTTACATATGTACAAAATTCGTTTTATTTCTGTTTCTGTTTGTTTGTTCCTATTCGCTCTCCTACTGTGTGCGGTTTTTCTCTCTCCCTAGAATACTCTCATTCTCTTTTTGTCTCTCATGGGCTCATGTGCTCGGTGTTATGTGTTGTTGGGTGTCGTCACAAATCGGTAGCTCAGCTCTTATAGCTGTAAAACAAAGCTAATAAAGTTAATATATTACTCATTTGATGGCTCATCAAAAGTGATTTTTCAACAACTAAACAACCTGTACTCAGCTAGTAAACTAATAATCATCAAGTCAAGCTGGTGATACATTGTGAAATGTTTCTACAGTGAGAAATATGTTTTAGTTTAATTTAAGATTTTGCCAGGAGAAGATGAAGCTGCGCGTTTTTTCATCGGTACTAGTTTCATTTTCGTTTGATTCAATTGTTATTTTCACCGTTAATAATAAAAGTTGTGATTCAAGGTGAGTGCTTGCTTCATATCTTGAATATGAGCTCTTAAAAAAATGTTCGTAGGTAATATAGGTAACCCTTGCTCAACGAAAAATCAATAAAACTGTACTGATGGATGCGAATGAAATGGTGTTAAGTGTAAAATACAGTGTAAGAACTGTACCAATGGAAAGTGTTTCGCAAACGAATGCACCTGCGATGCTGGCGTTTCAGGATGCATCATGGGACCTTTTTGTGATGTACAATATATTAAAATCGAAAATGGAAATTGTACCGGTCAACATACTTTTAGCTGTTATGAAGAATTTAAGCATCCATTGACTTATGATAGAAAGATAACATGTGTAGCCAATGATTCTGGAATCACTTCTTTCAGGAAATCGAAAAACTGTACAACATTTTCCATCGTAGCCGGTGCCATTTTCGCATTGTACGTGATCATTGAGATTTGCATCCAATTTTACAAGGGAGAAGGTA